ATTTCTTGTCCAAAAGCGTTGGATTTTATTGGCTGACAGCTGAGATTCTAACGTTAAAAATCTCGCAGAAATACATAAACACGTACAAATATCGACCTCCTAAAATTCGCCATTTTCCTCCACGTTTCAACACCCGCCGCAAAATATGTGTCGTCTCTGATTTGCCTGTTACCTTTTTGTCCATATAAAAGATTGCACACACACACACACTCTTATAGTTTCATAATTTGTCTTCTTTTTCTGGGCTTGATTTCTTGGTTGTGCTCTGAAAATTACTTATTCACATGAGTAAAGCACAAGCGTTTATGGGTTTTGATCAATCCGTGTCTTCATGGCGTGGGAAAAAGGGAAAATAATATTTTGAGAGAGAGAGAGAGGAGGAGGAGGGTTGTTGATGGTGTTCCCCTCCTTCTCGCGCTTTCTCTCTCTAGAATGATTTCTTGCATCATTTTGTGCATAAATTTGTACGTTTGTGAGTAATCACCCCACATTTTTTATTTATTACAGATCCTGATTCACTTAGTTCGGATTTTTAATTTATTGTTTGAAGGCCTTCAGTTAAATCTTCTTACTTTTATTTTAGTTATGGAATCATTGATTAAAATAATTGTTTTCTCAAGTCTTCAAATAGGATTTAGATCTGAAATGAGTGCATAAAGAGTATGCTTATATAATCTGATTTACAAAACGTCTGAAAATCAATTTATTTTGTTTTGGTCTTTAATCAAAGGTGCTATAGTTGTCTGAAAATTATTATTATTATTATTATTTTGGTCTGTTTGAAGTTGTTGTGGTTAATGTTATTACTTCTATGTTATATAACATATTCAAATGGATCAATTACAAAATTTTATACAGGAAAAAAATTAAGTAGAAATATATTTATAAATCACGAGTTGTAATTTCGGCGTTCTTTTCAAGAATTTGTATGCGATCTTCTAGATCCTGCAAGAGAGAAGGAGAATAAATTTAATTTTCTTTCTTCAGCATTAAAAAAAAAATTCCAAGAAATTTTTCGAAATTTGAATTAATTATGTGGTGTATATATTTTTATTTAAAATTACACATTCACTCGCAAGTTAATTTTATGAAGTGTTTTGTATCTAATTAGATTGGAAAATCAATTAGAATATGTTGCTCATATTAGAATTGTTTATCACTT